AGAGGGAACGAGAGACACACAGATTATTTATGTTTATACCTTGGGCTTCTGCCAATCCTAGATTCTCTGATACTGGCCTAGTGAGAGCTGGTCATTCTTGCTAATAAACCGTACGTAGGATTACATAAGACAGAACAAGGGTGAGAGAGCGAGAGACAGGACTTACCAGACAGGACAGGCCACACAGAAACATGAGCGGGAAACAGACAAATTAACATGGAGACAAGACCGACTTCAAAGAGAGCTACTACTGCAGGATGCTAGACACAGGAGAAGCGGGAATGAGGACAGGAAGCCTAAGGCTAGATAACAAACTGAGACCTGGGAATACAAACATAGATCAAAACTGTAACAATTAAACTAGGACCTTCACCTCAGAATATTAAATAAACCAGAATCAAGTCTACAACAGAAAACACTGGCGTAATTTCACCTAGTTCACAACTTTTATCTGAACCAAACCAAACCAAGATAAAAATAAATGAGCTAAAAAAAAAGTTCAAAATGCAGCGCTCCTAAACAGAAAGTGAAAGCAGTCCCCAGGCTGACAGACTGCTGATTTATCCAGCCTCTGGTCGTTGTGTGAAGGCATCAGTGGCATCAGACAGAATGGCAGTATCTGACAGCCTGAGATGAGAACACTGTTGGCAGTTCCCATGATGATTGACAAGCTCCATAAAATTTGAGCACATACACACGTACGTATGATATCGATTAGAACATTTTAGGTGACTTCCTTCAGTTATCACATTCACAAGATTTTCAAAAAACTTGACCTCCGAGATCGAGGTCACTGAGACTCAAACTCGTCCAAGATTGTTGGTAGATACACTATCATAATCCTACATCACGTTGTTCCAGTTATTGCTTTATACCGTCTGCCTGCCCGGTGCGGTGACGGAAATGCACCATCAGTCTTTTATGAGTCAAAGTGTGATGATTTGCTGGTACCTCTTTTTGTTGGTTAACTAAATGCACAGACAGAGACAAAGACAAAGAAGAGGATGGGTTGCAATACAGCCTGCTATAATTTCAAGTTAAATAAAATAATAGAGGTGTGTAGTAGTATATGCAAAAAAAAAACGTATCCCTGCATGTTTGGCTTTGTGTTTTCAACCACTCTGGTGTCAGCAAAGAACATCATGCACACTTCAGTGAAGTGCTGGTTCAGCCTTGAGAGAGCTGCCTGTGCAAAACACTTAACGACTGAATGCAGAGCGGTCTTAAACAAAGGTTAAACTGCTTGACAAGCCCTGAAGGAAACTTAGTTGGCACTATGGGAACAGACACGGCTGCACAGTCTTAACACCAAATACACAACATCAATAATGCAGCACTTTTCTAATGAATCATCAATTTCGACTGAGATAGATTGCATCATATAATTGTACCCGAGACACTGGATTGATTAGGTTATGATGTGAGGAGGTAAATGTGCACAATCTGTTAGGGGGCGAAAAAAAGTAATGTTTACTTTGAAATTTAAGAAACCATTACTTTGAAGTCTCTGAGCAAACAACAGGGGAAAAAAAA